GTCTGATAAGTCACGTTTGCCGAGCTTTTAAGAGGAAGTTTCTTGATCAAATGCTTGACTGTATACGATGTTCCCTATTCCCTAGGAGCTTCTCGCGATGGAGGGTCCTGGTGGAGGTCAAGAAAAAATCCGCACAGAAGACCCACAAAAGGGGAGCGGGAAGCCCCGAGACGTCGTTCCCAGACGGCTAGTTTTCGCTTGGGAGGCCCTCGCAATTGGTTCAGGAGTCCTGCCCTCGCCTCGGTGCTTCTCGAGAGGTCTTCACGCGTCTGGGGCCGCGGATTGAAACAAACAATTCGGAGGACCATGATGGAGGGGAGGAAGTGGTGGGGGAGGAGGAGGAGGCGCGAGGAGGAGGGAGGAAGGGGGATAGGTTAAGAGAGGCAGGAGGGAGGGAGGAAGAGAGGATGTATAGGTAGAAGGGAGGGAGATGCGAGGGTGCAGCGGGAGGATGCAGGAAGGAGCAGGAGGAGCGGGAAAAAGAAGGCGTGTGATGGATGAGGGAGTAGAAGGAAGAGCGAACAGGGGAAGAGGATGGACTGCCTGGCTGTTCTCGAACGTCTCCTGCAGGCTGCAGGGGAAGTAGGCGCATGCGGTTAAGCAGGAGGAGGACGAGAGAGGATGACAAGGAGTAGAAGGCAGGGGAGAATAAGAAGGAGGAGAAGGTGGAGAATGGGAGGAGAACGAGGAGGAGAGAGAACTAACAGGAAACGGGAAGAGGATGAGGAGGGTTACCGCAGGCTCTACGGTTGTAGGGGCTCACAGGGGAGGGGAAGCGGCATGACCATGCGTGATAAGGGCAATCAGCTGCTTGATATGCAAACGGGAGAAGAGCGATGATGAGGTCCTGGGGGGGGGGAACAAGAAGCTGGGGAGGAGGAGGAGCACGAATAGGAGAAGCAGGGGGGAGCGGCAGAGAGGAGGGAGGAGGGAAGGGACGAAGAGATGCCTCACAAAAAGTAAGAAAGGTGAGCCGCGAGGAACAGACATAAGGCGAGGGGGCAGGAGCCGCACCCCTCGGTAGTCGTTGAGGATGTTCTGGACGCCGTACTTTGGGCGGTCGAGCCCCTCGGCGGGCAAAGGCGGAGGAGGGGGCCGGGGCTGGCCGGAGCCGCCGGGGGAGCCAGCCCTCAAAGACGAAGGCAGGGGGGCGAGGTCTGGCTGCTTATCCTCCTCCTCCTCCTCCTCCTCCTCCTCCTGCTCCTCCTGCGCCTCCTCCTGCTCCTCCTGCGCCTTCTCCCTTCTCCCTCAGCATCCCTCCTCTTCCTCCGCCTACTCCCAAATCCTCCTCCTCCGAGGGGGAGAGAATGGGGGGGGCAGAGGGAGGAGGCTGGGGAGAGGAATGAGGGGGGGAGAGAGCAGGGTGGAATCAAGACAAGGGGGAGAAGGGGGGCGAGGAGGGGCGAACGGGGCAGAGCAGGTAGAGGGATGGCGGGGAGGGAGAGGGCGCAAGAGGGGCAGTGAGGAGGAAGAGGAGGACGAGAAAGGAGAAGAGGAAGAGGAGAAGGGAGGAGGAGGATGATGAGGATGAGAAGGGATGAGGAGGGCGGTGGAGCAGGAGGAAGTAGGATTTCCGTAGGGCCCAGTTGCCTCCCTGTGAGGAACCATGCACCCCCCGCAATCTTAGGACGGCGGCGATTGCCACCGAGTAACACGTAACAATGAAACCGCCATAGACATTCGCTCACCGAGGGTGTCCAGCGCTTCTGACATAGTATGGTTGTACGGCCGTCCTTCTTATAGATTCGGGCCCCTTTTTGCTCGCGGCTGACCTCAACTCCGTCGTACGCAGGGCCGAACAGGACCCTCTCCCACCTGATGCGGGCCTCGTGCTTCAGAAAGCCCGACGAGGTGTTCGTCTCGAATTGGTTCCTGTAGTGGGTGTCGTGCAGGATTGCTGGCCCAACCTTCGAGTAAGGGATCGACTACAGAATTGATTTACTCCCAGGTTGATTTGTTCGCCGAATCTAAGACAAATCCGTGGAATGTTCGGTTGGTCTACGGCAGATGCTGCGCCCTGTGTTGCAGACTCGGCGGGAAATCAATACTTGGGGTACTTGGCTCAACTCTGTAGTCGATCCCCTACTCGAAACCTTCTCGAGCTTGACGTGGCAGATGATGTCCGCCAGGTCCCGCACCCAAAGCAGGGCCATCTGGAGGTCGCCGTCGGAGAACCCCAGGCCCAGCGCCCGCCTCTGCAGGTAGGGGAGGGCCCTCTCGTGGTTCTCCTGCCCCAGGGGGCTCGGGACGGGGAGGAGAAGCACGAGGTGGGAGGAGGAGGAGGAGGAGGAGGAGGAGGAGGAGGAGGCGGAGGAGGAGGTCCTTCTCGTGCTCATCTCAGTCGACGAAGGAGGAGGGGGAGAAGGAGGAGGATCTTCTCGTAGACGATCCAGCCGTGGCGGCGAGGACTCCCCAGGACGAACGGAGGAATCGATGTCTCTTACTCCTCCGACGTAGAGGGTAAAGGGGAGAAGGGGAGGATCGACAGCAACAAGACCTGTCGGGGGAAGAGGGGGGCATCCTGTGCGAGGGCCAGGTTGTGCCAATAGGACGCGCCGAGACGATCATGAACCTCCAGAATGCGAACCTCGACACTCGAACATCGAACCTTGAACCTCGATTCTCGAACCTCAAGCCTCGACCTTCCTCGATCCTCGATCCTCGAACATCGATCCTCGATCCTCGGCCCTCGATCAACGATCCTCAAACCTCGATCCTCGTAGCTCGAACCTCGAATCCGCCTATATACCTTCCCCCCCTGGCGAAGCGACAGCCGGAGAATTTGAGGAGGAGACGAGGAGGGGACGGAGGCCCCTAGCAACGAAGTACGGTCTGTGCGCATGGTTGCCATCTGAGACGTTGCAACTCGAGAGAGAAGGGCTGCAGGAGGAGGCGGAGGAGGAGGAGGAGAGAAGGAGGAGAGAAGGAGGAGGGGAGAATAAGAGAAGGAGGAAGGGGAGGAGGAGGAGGAGGGGGAGGAGGAGGAGGAGGAGGAGGAGGAGGGGAACGAGGACGAGGACGAGGAGGAGGAGGAGGAGGAGATGGCCGCGGAGGAGACGATCGTCAGCGATCTGGGGGCAGCGCGTCCTGCGCGAGGGCCCGGATGTGCCTGATGGCCAGCTGCTGGCACGGCTGCAGCTGAGCTACGGCTTCCAGCTCCGCGGGCGCGACCACGAGGCGCCAGGCCGCAGACTCCTGGTCCTCGCGGGGGGGCGGGGGGGGAGGCGTCCACAGCAGGAGCAGTCAACACAGCGAATCAGGGGATCGGGTCAGATCGGAGCGTCCTCTTCCCCTTGCTCCTCCCCCTCTTCCTCCTGTGGGTAAGGTGGCCGCCCCCTGGACCCCCACCATCACTCTCTGCTTGGATGGAGTGGTGGTGCCGGACCCTCTCTGTCTTTCTCTCCCCTCAAGGCGGTGGGACCCGTGACGGTGAGATCCATCGGGTGTTCTCTAGAAACTCAAGACTAACACCTTGGTCAGTGTCGATTGTCTCCACATGAGACGTCTCTGTTTCATGCGCGATGCGCTGCTGCGCATTATGTCTTGTCTTTTCTCGGTGATGGAGCCCGCTGCCCTCATACCTCGACAGATCGTCGTTACCCGCCTCACCCTCATCCCCAAGCCCAATGCTGCTTGCTGTCCGATAGGTAACTGTTGTGCCTGCGCGCGCGGTGAGGTCAGCCGCCCTCTGGCCCAGGCGAAGGAGTTTCGGTGTGCGTGCGACTAGTTCGCGGCGGAGCCTTCCGACTGGGCCCAGGATGTGGTACGGGGGCAGGCTGTGAGAACTGAAACGTCCACGCTCAAGAAAGAAGAGGCTGCCACTGCCACTATCTTGTTTGATCTCTTCAAAGATTATGCGATCAATAACTTGCGTATACTTCTGTTTAGGTGCCGTCAGATGTAGTTCCCCTTGGCGGTGGCGAGGCTGGCGATCAGCATCTACCTCCAGGCTCGGTTGTTCGTCCTCGATGGGTTTGTGGACGGGCCCTATTGGGCCAAGAGAGGCACCATCGCGGGGTGCACATTTGCGACGTCCCCCATTCAGGTTTACGCAATCCTGGACCTGGACTGAATCCTGCTTCCACCTCAACTTCATTCCAAACTTGGCACCGGCGATTCGGGACTGCGTGCCACGGGCACCCAGGAACAGATCGTGCACCATCTTCCGCAGGCGGTCAGGCTGCTCTGCTCGGTCTTGAAGGGAGGCGTGGGGCTCAGAACAGCAGGGATGGGCAGGCTGCTCTTCTCGGTCTTGGGGGAAGGCGTGGGGCGCAAAGGTGGGGGCAAACGACCGCTCATGTCTTCGTCTCGTCTGTGGCGCTGGGCGGGGCCCTGGAGGCCAAGCTCAGAGGGCTGGCTGGTCCGCTCGCCAGCTCCGCGCCAAACCCTGGAGTGGACGACCGCGCTGGTCGCACTCGGAGAACTGAGGGGAGGAGGAGTTCGAAGCACAAGAAGAGGGAGCGACAGACCAAGGCCTCGGTGGGCCGCCTGAGGAAACGCAGGCCCTCTGTGGGGGGCAAGGGTTCGAAGAAGGTTCTCGCCGCAGGCGCCCTTGCTCCCGAACCTTTCGGTTCCGAGATGCCGCCGTCAAGCGGCCTCAGTCCTTGAGCCCTCAGCCAAAAGCGCCGCTCCCTGACGGCACCCCTGCTCGCGCACGGGGACCCATGCTGGGACGCGGCGGTATCCCCCCCCCTCTGCAGGAGGTCGAAAGAAGCTTGCTGGGCTCATCATCGGTCCCACGGTAGGTTCGCGTCGTACCAACCCTGGCGTTGGTTCCCGACACCGCGCTGGATCGTTCAACCTTGAACGATCGGCCGTTCTCGAAACGTCAGATCGTTCAACATCGACCGATTCTGGGTCGCTGGCGGCGTTCAGCGTTGAACGCCAGCGGCGGGGTCGCCGCCGGTCGACACGGCGCGAACCTACCGTATCCTCACAGGCTGGGGCGCACGGTGCTCCGAGCTGCAAGGTCCGCTGGTTCTTCGGGCGAGTCTCCCCTCCGGCGCAGTGGTTCGGGACCCATCTTCTGCGCTGAGGAGATCTTGCGAGCGGATTGTCTTGGACAGTGCCCTCATTACGGGGTCCTGGTTTCGGACTGGGGGCGAGGAAGTCAAGATCACCGAGTTGTTCTCCAAGCTTCTTCGCACGTTGCTGCGAGAGGCTGTTCTGAGGGGGCTCTAATGAGATATGGGCGCTCGGCTCAACGTGAGTACCAGGGCGTGCGTGAAACTGGTGCCTAGCTCTTTGCAGAGTTCTGAATATACCTCCACCAGAAGGGTTCTCTGAGGGCTCTTTTGTAACGCTATTTCTACCAGATCACTCGCGGCCAGTTTAGGTCATGTGCTGCCGTCGACGGATTTGCTTTTGTTTTGCCCAGCTCCCTTGGCACGAACAGCAGTCGGCCAAGAGGATGTACAGTAGATGTACAGTAGTTCAGCCCAGCTTGTCAATGGCCCAAAACTGCTCTTGAAAAGGTGCGAGCGCACCAGTCTGTCGAGGAGGCCACTGATGACGAAGCCCGCTGAAGGCGGCAAGTCGTATGACTGGGCTGAAAAAAAGGGTGCCAAGGAAGCAACATCCTTGCATCCTGCTGCCCACTGTGGTGTGGCCGAGGGCCTGCATCGCTCCATCGCGGTCGCTCGTGCGGTGGGGCGTCTGGGGGCCCTTTGTGGCCCAGGCTCGACATGGGCCCACAGGTTGGTAGGATCCCCCCGACAAAACCCCGCGGGCGAAGACTGTGCACCCGCAGGGCTGGACTGCCAGTCATCGGCAGTCTTCGGCGTGCCTCCGAGGGCGGAGGCGGGTCCCGCCGCTCGAGCAACCTCCTGGTGCGTGTGGCTCGGCGCTCGGAGTCCAACCCGTCAAGCTGAAGGAACTCGGGCACCGTTGCACCTTGCTTGTGTTATGATGTTCCCTGTTGTTCGTGTACCACAAGCGTGGTTATATGACGTCTGGGGGCCAGCTGCGCAACCTGGGCAACAAGTGCGAGCCTGACTCGGGCAAGTCGCACAATCGGCCTGACTCTGGGCCGCCTCCAGACTCTGGGGGTTCCTCCCTCCTCCTCCTCCTCCTCCTCCTCCTCCTCCTCCTCCTCCTCATCCTCTGGACTTCTGGATGGTGGCAGTTCCTGTGCATAGCGCTGATGCCATCGTCCTCTTCCTCCTCCTCGTCCTCCTCTTCGTCCGCCTCCAACTCCTCCTCCTCCTCCTCCTCCTCCTCCTCCTCCTCCCTGCCCTCATCATCTGCCTCCTCCTCCTCCTCCTCCTCCTCCTCCTCCTCCTCCTCCTCCCTCCCCTGATTATCCTCTCAATCCTCCTCCCCCGCTGCATCCTCCTCCGTCCCCTCATCCTCCTCCCCTCCCTCTTCTCATCCTTTTGCTCATCCTCCTCGTACGCCGCCGCCGGCCGCCGCCGCCTTCGTCGTCGTCGTCGTCGTCGTCGTCTTCGACGTCGTCGTCGTCGTCGTCGTCGTCGTCGTCCGTCGTCGTCGTCGTCGTCGGTCGTCGTCGTCGTCGTCGGTCGTCGTCGTCATCGTCATCACGTCGTCGTCGTCGGTCGTCGTCGTCGTTGTTGTCGTCAGCGTCATCGTCGTCGTCGCCGCTGCCGCCGTCGGCGTCGTCGTCGTCGTCGTCGGCGTGGCCGCCGCCGCCACCGCCGTCGCCGTCGTCGTCGTCGACGTCGTCGTCGGTCGTCGTCGTCCGTCGTCGTCGTCCGTCGTCGTCGTCCGTCGTCGTCGTCATCGTCGTCGTCGTCCATCGTCGTCGTCGTCGTCGTCGTCGTCGTCGCCGTCGTCGTCGTGGCTGCCGCCGCCGCCGCTGCCGCCGCCGCCGCTGCCACCGCCGCCGCCGCCATCGTCGTCGTCGTCGTCGCCGTCGTCGTCGTCACGTCGTCGTCGTCGTCGTCGTCGTCGTCGTCGTCGTCGGTCGTCGTCGTCGTCGTCGTTCGACGATCGAGGTTCGAGTTTCGATAAGGTTTTTCACGATGTTCGGCCTCTGGAGGCTATTTTCGGGCTCGGGGACGGTCAGAAGCCGAGAATGATTTTGAACCGATTTCGTTCCTCGTCGTCGTCGTCGTGGACGAAACTTAACCTTGCAGACTGTCGATCCCCCATCCCTCTCCCACAACTGCAGGCGCGTACCGCCCGGGGAACGGCGGCGGCGACGGCGGCGGCGGCGGCCACGACGACCACCACGACGACGACGACGACGACGACGACGACGACGACGACGACGACGACGACGACGACGACGACGGCGGCGACGGCGGCGGCGGCGCGCGAGGGCTGGGGCTGTCTTGGGCCCTCTTGGGGCCTGCACAATTTGGACATCCATGTCCAAAATTGTCTTGGGCGCCGGTTCTTGAAGGTTCGGCGGTGGTTTATCGATTTCTTCCGGGCGGCGCAGCGGGCGGCACCTTGAAGTGTCCCACGGCGCCCGGACAATTTGGACCGCCATGTCCAGTTTGTCTGGAGACGGTTTGGACCCTCTTGGGGCCAACTTGGGGGGGCCGACCCCTGAAATAAAACTAGCACACAGACTGAGGGCTCCAGGGACCTGAGGACTGAGGGCTCCAGGGATCTGATGATGATGACGACGATGATGATGATTATGGTGGTGGTGGTGATGACGATGTGGGAAATGATGAGGAATATGATGAGGAATGATACGGAAACGCCGGTCTGAGCACTTCATGGGCTCGACCACCTGGAGTGGTAAGTTTTGATGCTGCTTTTCCCCAGGGTTCTGGAGCCCTCGGGGCCTTGGGGGGCCCCAAAACGGATCCGAAGCCTCAAATTTTTTTCCGGCTCACGACCGGCGACCGGCGACGACAACGACGAGCATGAGTTACTTGGCGCCCCCCCTTTGGAGTATCGGGTAACTGGGGGGTGCGCTCCACACCCCCCACTTACCCGGTGTCCCGGGGGGGACATCAGGTAACTCGACCTTGCAGGGGGGGGCGTTGAGCACGAGTTACCCGGTGGCGAGGGGGGGCATCGGGCAACTCGACCATGCACGGGGGGGTGTCGGGCATGTGTTACCCGGAGTCCCCTGGGAGACATCGGGTAAGCGGGGGGTGCGCTCCACGCCCCCCACTTACCCAGTGTCCCCCGAAGGGCATCGGGTAAGTCGACCTTGCAGGGGGCGCATTCGGCATGATTACGTGTCCCGCGCGAGACATCGGAGTTACCCGGTGGTCCCCCCGGGGACATCGGGTAACTCGACCCTGCAAGGGGGGGTCTGGATATGAGTTACCCGGTGCTCCCCCATGGGACATCGGAGTCAACCGGTGGTCCCCGTGGGACATCGGCCCGTGGGACATCGGAGTTACGAGGTCCCCCGTGGGACATCGGAATTATCTGGTGGTGCTCGTGGGACACCAGCCCGTGGGACATCGGAGATATATCCGGTGGTCCCCGGGGGACATCGGGTAATTCGTGTTCCCCGAGAAACATCGGAGTTACCCGGTGTCCCGTGGGACCTCGGAGTTACCCCGTGGTCCCCGTGGGACATCAGCCCGTGGGACATCGGAGTTACCCGGTGTCTCCCGTGGGACATCGTAATTACCCTGTGGTCTCCATGGGACATCAGCCCGTGGGACATTTACCCGGTGTCCCCCGTGGGACATCGGAGTTGCCCGGTGGTCCCCGTGGAACATCGGCCCGTGGGATATCGGAGTTACCAGGTGGTCCCCGGGGGACATCGGGTAACTTGACCTTGCTGGGTGTGTGTGGGCATGAGTTGCCCAGTGGTCCCGGTGGGACATCGGAGTTACCCAGTGTCCCCCGTGGGGCATCACGACGACAAGGACGACGACGACGACGACGACGACGGCAACTTTCCCATGTGTTTTTCCCGTGCGCCCCCCCCTGATGAGTCAAAAACCCATCGGAATTTCAACATTTTTGCGTTGGAGCCCTTGCCTCGGCGCGTTGGCGGTGAATGGGCGCGACAAGCGCTTTCGGTCGCAATGTGCGAAAACCATAGTTTAGTTGCCCGTTCAGGGGGGCCGCACTGGAAAAACACATGGAATTCGACGACGACGACGACGAAGGACGACGACGACGACGACGACGACGACGACGACGACGACGACGTGACGACGACCTCTTGGAGCCGTCTTGGGGCCGTCTCTGGGCCCTCTTGGAATCGTCTGGGTGACCGATCTCGGGGCTTTATTGGGATCGTATTGGGGTCCCCTTGGAGCCGTCTTGGGGCCCTCCTGGGCTTTTCCCAGGGCCCTCTGGCGAAGCCCAAGAAGGCTACGAGAGGGCTTCAAGAGGGACCCAGTAGTTATGTACCAACCGAGGGCCCGCTGGTACATAACTCCTGGGCTTCTCTCGGGGCCATCTTGGGCTCCTCCTGGAGCCGTCTTGGGGTTATGTACCAACTGGGGGCCCGCTGGTACATAACTCCTGGGCTTCTCTTGGGGCCATATTGGGCCACTCCTGAAGCCGTCTCGGGGCTCTCTGGCAGCTCGCTCGGGGGCTTCTCGGGGTCCAGAAGGAGGAAGAGAAGGAGGAAGAGGACGAGGGGAGGCAGTAGGAGCTGCAGGAGGAGGAGGAGGAGGAGGCAGAGGATGAGGGGAGGGAGGAGGAGGAGGCGGACGAGGAGGAGGAAGAGGAGGAGGAGGAGGAGGAGGACGACGACGGTATCCATTCTATGCACAATAACTGCCACCATACAGAGGTCCAGAGGAAGAGGAGGAGGAGGAGGGAGGACCCCCCAGAGTCTGGGGGCGGCCCAGAGTCTAGACAGCACTGTTTTCAGATACAGCACTCCGGGGAATAAGTTGACAAAAAGACTCCATCCCAAGAGGGTCGGGATCACTGTTGATTTAGACACGTTTTGCCGCCTCTGGTGAGCGTCGCTCTGCACAGTCAACGTTGCTCACCTATCTTTCTGTCCATCGTTCTGCTGTCGAATGTATGCGGAGCCGCCAAGAGGTCTCCCCAGCCCTTGGTGTGTACGTCGGGCTGCAGCGTCGTGAATGCAAAAAATCAGTCTCCCCCTCCTCTTCCCCCTCCTCCTCCTCTTCCTCCTCCTCCTCTTCCTCCTGTCCTCCTCCCCCTTGCATCGAACCGGGCCGCATCGGCAGAGTCGGACTCGAATGGAATCTGAGGCGCCACGATAGACGACAACACCATGTAAGCACAGTGCCGCACCAGATCGCCCGAAGATCTGAATCGAACCGGGCAGGCCTCCTCCTCCTGACGCTGGAGGGCCTCCTCCTCCTCCTCCTCCTCCTCCACCTCCTGCGGCTCGTCCTTGAACCCGCAGCTTCGCAGCGAGTCGCTGGACGCGAGGCTGGACGCGAGGCTGCGCGCCGCCGGCGCGGACGACGCCAGCGACCTTGAGGAGGCCAGGCTGACCTCGGCGGACCCCCCGATGCATCCGCAACGCCGACGACGACGAAGACGCCGCCGACGACGACGACAACGAAGACGACTACGGCGGCGGCGACGACGAAATCGACGACGAAGACGACGACGACGCTGACGACGACGACGCCGACGCCAACGACGACCACGACGAAGACAACCACAACAACGATGACGACGGCGACGCCGCCGACGACGACGACGCCGCCGATGATGATGATGATGATGTGACGATGCAGCCGCTGTCGTCGCCACTGCTGGCGGCGACGACGGCGACCAATAATTGACGCTGGCGGCGGCAGGCCCGCTCGGTGGAGCACCCCATGCCTCCGACACGTCTTGAGCAATTGCTCTGCTTTGAGCGATCCCCACCCGAGGCCGTGCTCGTGCGCACAACGGCGGGGTCGGGTGGCTCACACCCTACGGCAGCGCACGGGCATCCTCCGTCTCACATCTCCCTCCCACCCGAGAACGCGAGGCGGGAGGATTACCCAGGGAGCACCGCGCACCTGGAGGGCCTTGCGGCGGCGATACGCAGTGGTCATTCGTCGAAGACGCGAGGCAGGGGCGGCCGCAGTATGCAGGGTGAGTGAGGCAGGTCTGGAGCTTTTGCTATATTTGGGCGCGAATTAATGAGGGAGCGATACAAAGGGGGGGGGGGGAGGACCGGTAAGGCACCCCTTTCGGGCCCGAAACGGCCCCTGTAGGAGCCCCAAAGGGACTCTTTCTGCAACCTGGCGCCCTCCCCAATGTATCGCCTCCCCATTACGCGCCCCCCCTAACATATCTATCATCCCGACCTGCCGGGTGGGACCTCGAGGTGGAGGTCTTTCAAAGTTTTCGGCCTCCAGACGCCGCTTCGGGGCCCTGGGGCCGTCAAAAAAGACGCAGGATGAAAAGCTGGCCCTGCAGAGGCCTCCCAAGCGGGGTCCGAGTAGATGGGGTCGGAGGATCGCGCCGCATCGCCGATGCATCGGCGATGCGTCGGCGACCTCGACGATGCATCGACGATGTCGTCGTGGAATCGATCGGGCTCCGTATCGCGCAGCATCGCCGGTGCATCGGCGATGCGGAGCGATCCTCCGACCCCAGCCAATCGGGCCCCATCTAGGAGGCCAAGGCCCTGGAGAGAAGTCGGTCGGACGACTCGCCGTCGCTCGGACGTCCATTCCCCGTGCATGTTTCGATTCCGTGCGTGTTTTTGCTGCCCGATGATCCAGGATGCTCCTCGATGGTCCTCACCGGGAAAAAATGCGCACGTCCGAGCGATGCAAGGACGAAGGGGGGGGGGTAGCACAGGTAGGGTTGGCGAAAATCAGCTCACGCAGCCCCGCCTCCTGGCTCCAGGGGCGCCGACGTATCGAGGAACGCGCTGGGCGGCAGGGCCGAAGCCAGGTGCACGCAGCAGATTTCGTAAACAACCCTCGTTCCCTATCCTTGGACCTGGCATCCCTAGACCTGGGGCCATGTCTGGAATCTCCTGCAACATAATCTCCCACGAGAAACTACTTAAGACACATCTCAAAACAAGTCTCGCAGCGAGAGAATTTCGCGAGGGGGGGGGGGAGATAGGCCCTATCCTCCCCGTTCGTCCGACCCGGCAGGGGTGGGGACCTCCAGGGACCCCGAGGGAAGCAGAAGAACGACGTCGGATGTCTGGGACCCCCGCCTGCATCTGGCACAAGACGGCGGCGAGCGAGGGGGGGAGGTGAGAAGGAGAAGGCCTTCTCGGAAGGCGGCAAAACTGCTCAGAAGCCCTCCCTTCTGAAATGCCTTCTGAAGGACGGATGGAAGGAAAGGATGTTCAATGATTTCCGCCATCACGTAGTGATAGTGGATGTAAGGAAAGGACAAGGGGGAAGGAGGAGGAGGGATCACGAGAGAGATTAGCAGGCGGTGGGGCTAGGAAAAGAAGACAACTGGCAGAACCAGACGTGCACATCGGGCGGGCAGGCCCTGGCGGGCGGGTCGGCGACCAGGTCGAGCAAGCGGGCTGCTGAAGCGTGACGCAAAAATGAATCGCGAAGTCTCAAGCGATACCAGGATTCCCAAGTAAACCGTGCGAGAGACCAGCGCGAGAGCGTTATCCCTCCTGAGTGTCGAGGGAGCGGCGTCTGAGTAAATTGCGAGGAAGGCCCATACGAGAGCCCGATGCCCGATGACTGCATACATTGCAAGGAAATCCCGCGCGAAAACGCGATTTTTGAATATACTGTGAGGTAATATCAAGCGGGAGCCATTGTATTTGTTGATGGTGTTGCTGTAAACTGGGGGCCAACGACGCAGCTTGGTAACACCCAACTTCCCCTTATAAAAAACAGGGTGCGAGCCTGGGAAGGAACACTTGAATTTCAAAATGCTTGCATTTCAAAATGCAACGGTCACCGGAAGGGGGCCAGCAATAACTCGCCCTTAGGAAGGATAATTCAACAACAACAACAACAACACCAGCAGCAGCAGACGCAACAACAATAATCCTTTTAAGACTGGTCGCTCTTATCTGCTCGCCTGCCATTCAACATGTATATCCCAAACCCTCGGTACCCGCCCTCTTCGTCTTCGATCGTACCCCTCGGGCCATTGTGGTACATCTTCCTGACTTGCCACGTGCATTCAGCACAGCCCTCAAACAGGGGAAAAGAAGACGGATGGAGGGGGGAGGGATACGGATGAAGCACGACAGAAATTAGGAGGGGGGCAAGGAACATAAAATACATGGCAGAACAAGACGTGCAGATCGGGCAGGCAGACCCTACGTAGCGGGCGTGTCGGAAAGGCGGGCCCAGGCGGCCGATTGAGCAGGCGGGTTGCTAAAGCGTGAGTCTGGCATCAATCGCGAGGATGCCATGAGCGATAGCGCGATTCCCAAATAATTCGCGAGAAAGACCAAAGCGAGAGAGTTATGTACTCCTGAGTGTCGAGGGAGCGGCGTCTGAATAAAATGCGGGGAGGTCCCACGCGAGAGCGCGATTCCTGCAGACATTGCGAAGAAATCCCGCGCGAGAATGCGATGTTGGACGAGTGCGTACCGAAGTATCAGGCTGGAGCCTTTGTTGTTGCTGTTGTTGTTGTTGTTGTTGAACTCGCACTACTGAAGAATAAGTATAGTTTAACCTCCTCCAGTGACCATTGTGTTTTTTCAAGTTCAGTGCTTCCCACGGGGTTCGCATCCGGGCTTTTTTTATCAGGGGAAGTCGCTCGGCTCAAACTGCGTCCCTGGCCCCCAGATGACAACAACAACGGCTCTCGCCTGAGACTTCCTCACAATTTAGCCAGGACCCCCGCTGCCCTTCGTGGCCCCCTCGCTCCCCTCCGTGGCCCCGTTGCAACCCTTCGTGGTCCCCTCGCTGCCCTTCGTGGCCCGATGGCAGCCCTCAGTGGCCCCCTCGCTGCCCTTCGTGGCCCCGTCGCACCCTTTCGTGGCCCCCTCGCTGCCCTCGTGGCCCCGTTGCAGCCCTTCGTGGCCCCCTCGCTGCCCTTCGTGGCCCCATGTATGTATGCCCTTCGTGGCCCCCGCTCGTTCGCGCCCGTCGTGGCCCCGCACGCATGCGCTTCGTGGCCCTGCTGTCGCCATTTGCGGCCCCCTCGCTGCCCTTCGTGGCCCCGCTGTCGCTCTCGCTCTCGCTCTCGCTCTCGCTCGTCGTCGTCCACCCCGCCGTTTGCGGGGGCCCAGCCTGCAGGGAAGAAATATATACCCCGCAAAAGGGCGATATAATGCGAAGAGGGCAGGCGTCGATGGTTTGGGAAATACGCGGTGAATGGCACTCGAGCAGACAAGAGCGAACATTCTTAAAATGATTATTGCTGTTGCTGGTGTTGGTGGTATTGTCGTTTTTGTTGATGTTGCTGCTGTTGTTGTTGCTGCTGCTGTTGTTATTATTGTTGTGCTGTTGCTGTTGTAGTACGGGGCCCAACAGCCCAGCAAGAATGTTTTCCGTAATCAAAACAAGGAGAGAGCCACGAGGGGGGCTGTCAATAGAAAAATCGCAATGTGCACTGGTGAGGGTGGATTAGCAATCATTACTCTGCAAAAATAAGATTTCAAACAACACCACCAACAACAACAACACACAATACACAACACACAACAAACAAACAAAAAACAACAACAAGAATCTGGGCCACGGAATCCCACTTTAGCCACGCATCCAGGGTCAATGAATAACCGTTCGGCCCCCTCACTCTGATTCATGTTCGGAAGACCTCAGGGCCCCGTAGACCCAGACAGGCTAGAACCAGACACCCAACATCCCTCGAAACAAACTTTTCCAAACGGCGGCACGAACAAAATACTGCACTGCAACACTTCCATAATAAAACCGGACACAGGCCCCATAAGCCTGCAAGACCCCCCTAAATCCAGACACAAACCCGAATCCTGCAGTGCAACAAACAACACATGCACGGGTGCTGAAAAACTTGACTTTGCAGGAAAGGATGACGTTTCCTTGGTTTCCCGTGTCCTGGTTTATCTGTGTCCTGGTCTCCCGGGGCCTGAAGACCTTCCCCGGGGGCGGCGCCGGAAATGCCGCCAGGGACCCGGGGTGTGGTACGCGGGGGCTCCAGCCCCGACCCCCGAAGGTTCCTCTGAGGGAATATCAGAATACCGATACTGCGACTACACGGCCCGTCATCCTTTGATCCGCGGGGAACTTCAAAAATTTACTGATCATGCCTTTCTCTGGCCTTCTGCCCTCGGAAGTGGTGGTGGTGGTGGTCGACCCTCCTCCGACTGTCTGGGTTACGGTCGGGACTGTTTGCTTGGCGTGTCGCGGCGGCGGCCCCAGCGGCACGCTATGCCATGCAAGCGGATAATTAGTGTGTCGCTCCGCCTCGCGGGGCGAGAGGCTGGGAAGATTCGGGACGTTGACGCTTGGGCATGGGGACGTGGATAGCGTGCCGCGCTGGAGCGTGGTGGACCAGAGCCGGCAGCGCGACACGCTAAGCCAAAGATCCTGACCGCAAGCGGGTGCGACGATTGTCTCCCAGTGACCGGCAGGGAGCCCAACGCCTCGCTGGCGCATGGGCTCGTGACCCCGTCGCTCAGCTTGGGACTTGCGGTCCCGGCGGCGTCGTTCGGCGGCCTTGCGCTCCTCCCGGACTCCCAGGAGCCAGACGGCCGGGGCTGCCACCACCACAGAGACGATGAGATTCGGCCTCCGTCCTTCTCGGCCTCCTCCTCCGCCTCCCCCTCCCCCTCCTCCTCCTTATCCTCCTCCTCATCCTCCTCTTCTTCTCCCTCCTCCTTGTCTTCTTCCATTCTCCTCCCACCTCACCCTCCTCATCCTCAACCTCAGCCTTCTCTTAGTTCTCATCCGCCCCCCCCTCCATCTCATCATCAGCATCCTCATCCTCCTATTCATCCTCATCCTCCTCATCATCATCAACATAATCGTCGTCATCACCATCACCGTCAGAGTCATCTTCACCATCATGACCATCACCATTATCGCGATGACCATCACCATCACCAACACCTTCATAATCAACAGGACCATCATCACAATCACCATCACCAGCACCATCACGATAATCATGCTCATCATGATCAATATCACCATTGCCATCATCGGCTTCACCAGCAACATAACTGTCATGGTCATCTTCATAATGGGAACCATCGTCACAACCAGCATCACCACCATCACCACCATCATCATCACCATCATCACCATCGCCAAGTCCCTCATCTTCATCACCATCATCATCATCATCATCATCATCATTATCACCACCATCAGCATCATGACCATCACCATCTTCATCAACATCCTCCTTATCATCATCGCCATCACCGTCATCATCACCACCATGATCGTCAGCAACATCATCACCATCACCATCACCATCACCATCATCCTCATCATCATCAGCATCATCACCATCCTCATTCTCATCCCCAATATCATCCTCATCTCCATCATCATCCTCATCCTTACCCTCATCCTCAACCGCATCCTCATCCACATCCTCGTCCACGTCCTCCTCATCCTGATCATCATCATCATCATCATCATCATCATCATCACCATCATCATTATCATCAGTATCATCATCGTCGTCACCATCATCATTATAGTCATAATCACCATCATCATCACTACCACCATGACCATCACCATCACCATCATCATCGATACCACCATCATCATTGTCGTAAGCATCGTCATCAGTATCATCATTCTGTTATCGTACCATCATATCATCATCGGCATCACCATCATCATCGACCTGTGAATATCTCCTCACACCTCCTCTCTCTTCCCGCCTCCTTCTCATCTTACCCTTCCTGTTATTCATCCTCCTCTTTTGCTCCCACTTTCCTGGACGTCCTCCTCTTGCCCCTCGCCCTACCCCTCCTCCCACTCCTCCTCCTCCGCCTCCTCCTCCTCTTCCTGCTTCTTCTCCTGCTCCTCCCTCCTCCTCTCTGTACTCATCCCAGCACTAGGCGAGCGGCCACGTGAGACCAAATGCTAACATCCGCCGGTCTGTCCTTCCCGAATACCGTTGTACGATAGAGGTCTCACATTGACATGACAAAAAACATGAGCTCCAGAACGCCGCTCTGGGACGGCACTTTCGCATGAGAATCCCTATCAATTGTCTCAGGAAACGTGCTTTCGCTTCGGTGCCGGCTGCATGTCTAATGGCCTGGACAGCCACGATACCTTATACATTACAGTAAGGTGCACATGGTCGTGCCCTCACCGAAAATGCCGGCTGCATGTTTTGTCCGGACGGCAACGATCCCTGATGTGTGTATAAACGTTTGTATTGGTGTATATCACTAGATATAACCAAATAATTGCTCCAAGCGGTTCCAATCGAAACCTTCCACGTGTATTCCCGAGTATGGTAATGTTTGCCGGTGTGGCCAAGCTGAGCTCGGCGAGCACGTTGCGCTTGATACCACCATTATTCGGTCGATGCTGCATTCTAAGAGATCACCTTCTTCTCAGTTCCAGTCTATTCCTATGCGCATATGGTTTGTTGTGTTCTGCTCTTGACTGGGCGGCCTGACGTCTAATAGGTCGTCGCTGTGCCTGTATTTACATTGCGGCCAACACTACGTCGGCATGACTGCTGCGTTCGACAGGGCGCGCTGCATCTTTCGCTGCGGTATTCAAACCGAGTCAGCTATTTTCGATTCCATCATTTTACACACTGTTATCCTGCATTCTGCTCTGTTGTGCTGTCGACGGGTCGGCGTGACGTCGTGACGCCTGTCGCGCGAGATATGTCGTCCAATCGTTCAATGCTGCGCCTGCTTGTTCCTGTGGCCAACTGGCCTCTGCGCGCACATCGCGCTTGAGTATGTTATGATACGGGCGAGCATGGTATGATGCTCGTTTGACGAGACACCGTGAATTGGTGTTTGCTTTGTGATATTGTGCTGTATTCTGCTCACTTGGAATCTGCCCGTAAAAAAAACACCATGTCATGATCTGGGCCGGCGTGACGCCGTGACGCCTGTCGCGATTGATATGTCGCATGATCGGTCTTTGCTGCCATTGTGGCTTCCTGAATTATGCTCTGTGACCTATTTTCTGCTACATGCGCATCTGGTGTGCTCTGCTCTGCTCTCGACTGGGCGGAGTGGCGTCGTGGCGCCTGCTACGTTTGATATGTAGTGTAATCGGTTGTTGCTGCGCCTGTGTTTGCCCCGTGGCCAGCAGTACGTTGGCGTTGATGTTGCACTTGGCAAGGCACACGGCATCGGTCATTGCTGTACTTGAGAATGTCCAACTACAGTTTATTCCATCACGTTGACAGATGTTCTACTGTATGCTCTGTTGTGTTGTCGACGCGCCAGCGTGACGCCGTGACGCCTGTCACATTAGATACGTCGTCCAATCGGCCATTGCTGCGCCTGTTTGTCCTTGTGGCCAGACTGACCTCGGCACCCACGTCGCGTTTGACTAGTTTAAGGTGCGGTCGATTATGGTGTTATGTTCACTTGCGGTGGTGATGCACTCTATCGTGTTGCCATGTGCTATAGTTGGATCGGTTATATCATCAGGTAAAAGGTTACTTTATGATGTGCCCTTGCTTTATGATATGTTGTGCAATGTTATACCCTGAATACGTTATTGCGTTATGACGTACTTCGTCAAGCATGTGAGACTATACCATTGTCGTTGCCGTCGTGGCAACAATAGTGCACCGATCATGGTATGTGCTGCTGGGTGCTGCTATGCTAGAATATATTACGTTCCGCTGTGCCATGCGGTACGTTGTTATGCCATGCTTTACCCGAATGTGTGCTGTAGTGTGACATGTTGTGCAATGCTGCAGTAAAGTATGCGCCGCCATGGTATGTCATGCTATCAGAGTGTGCGTTAAATTGCGCTATGTCATGGTGCGGCCTGTCATGGTGTTGCATGGTCGGTTAGGCGGCGATGTGTTACGGTATGGTATGGATGCTCTTAAATGGTATGGTATGTTTTGGCGATGGTCTGTCATGCTATGGTATTGTATGCTACAGTATGGTATGCACTGCTATACTACGATGCGTACTGCTACTCGGTGTTCTGGATATTCCGCTCTGTCATACCATGCGCTGGTAGGAAATGCCATGCCCTCAAGTGTGATGATGTGGTCTGGTATGGTATGCTATGCCATGGTATGTTCCATTCGTATGCTGTGCTCTGGCTTGTTATGTTGGTATGTTCCGTGCTGGTAGGTATGCTCCGTCCTGCTCCCAATGGGCGGGGATCTCGGGGATTCTAGGGGGACCTGGGGACCTGGCGGCCGCGGTATGCAGAGAGAGCCAATCGGGTGTGGATGAGCGGGAATCTCGGGGACTCTCCGTGGACCGGGGGATCTGGCGGCCGCGGTATGCAGAATGGGCGGGTCGAGTCTGCAGGGGCGGAAGTCTCGGGGACTCTCGGTGGACCTGGAGATTTGGCGGCCGCGGTATGCAAGGTGGGCGGTTCTGGAGGCCTGTTCTGAACATCTAACAACCCCTGCCTGCTAGGTGGGGAAAGCCCAACTTCCAACATATGTTAAATATTATGCTCTGTTCAGTCATGCTGTGTACGGGATGCCCCCAAAAAAGTAGAATGCTATGATCTGATTTGTGATGACATACCTCTTCACTGGAATTATTGTGCACAATGGAATTATAGTGTAGTAGCAGCAATCGTGAAACACTCATGGGACATTATACTGACTACACACAGATATGTTAAATGTGTGATGTTATGCTGCTCCACTATGTTATGACACTTTGCAATTCGCTAAAGACTAGTTTGTTGGTGTGCATTCGTTGCCGTCGTGGAAGCAGTCGGGAACCACGTATGTGATGCCATGGTAAGATATGTTGTGATGTACTCTACGATGCTTCGTTGCGTCCTGGTGTAAGTTGGTATGTTACGCTGTGTCTGCCATGGCAAGTTAATTCATGATGTGGTCTTCTGTGCTATGTTCTGCCGTCGTAACAAAATATTACGCCTCGATCTGCCATGGCGTGCTGTGTCATGTTCTGGAATGATGTGTGCTGTGCTGATGTGTACTGTTATGGTATGGTGTGTCATGTTATGGTGTTTGGTACTATGGTGTGCTAAGGTATGGTATGTGCTGATAAGCTATCTTCTACTATATTGCGCGGCGTTATGTTATATTGTGCGTGCCCCGCTGTGTCATTACATAACGTGTTATTCTGTGGTATGGCATGACATGTCATGTTCTGGTATGCTATGCCCTGGTTCTCGGCTATGTCAGGTTCTGGTATGCGAACATATGCATTGTCGCGCTATGTTATGGTATACGATGTCATGGTACACAGTGACAAAGTAGTCAATTATGTGCTACGGTGCGCTTTGGCATGGTATGCTATGTCGGAGGTGAGGAAGTGAGATAGAAGTGGAACGGAGAGCCCCCCTACCGGGAAATCGGTTTCGGCTTCGTGTTCCTGCGTGCCGTGCGTGCGAGCGAGGCGAAGCTGCGGGGGCGGGCGAGAGATAGGTCTCCTGTAGCTGAGGCGCGGCCGGACCAAAAGTCTCCCTTCAGGCAACCGGTGCCCCGAGGTGTCCCGCCGGTGTCCCGCTCGGGGGCGGTGGGGCGCGGTGTCCCGCCGGTGTCCCGTGGGTGTCCCGATGATGATGATAATGATGATGATGACGATGATGATGATGACGTTGATGATGTTGACGATGATGATGATGATGATGATGATGATGGCGATGGTGGTGATGATGCTGGTGTCCCGATGATGATGATGATGATGATGATGGTGATGATGATGAAGATAAAGATAATGACGATGTTGATGATTATGGTGGTGATGATGGTGCCCCGATGATGATGATGTTAATGATGGTGACGTATCTGATGATGATAATGATGATGGTGCCCAGAGGATGATGATGATGTTGACGATCCTGACGGTGTTGATGATGATCAGATGATTTGATGATGATGATGACGATGATGATGGTGTCCCGATGATGATGATGATGGTGATGATGATGGTGGTGAGGTTGATGATGATGCTGTTTATGATGGAGGTGATGATCATGGTGTCCCGATAATGATGATGATGATGATGACGATGATGGTGTCCCGATGATGGCGATGATGTTGATGATGAGGGTGATGATGAGGTGGTGCTGATGATTTCGATGATGGTGGCCCAATGATGGTGATGACGATGCTGATGTTGATGATTGTGTCACGATGATGGTGATGTTGATGATGATGATGGTGACGATGATGATGCTCCGATGATGATGGTGTTGATGATGATGTTGCTAATGGTGATGATGATGGTGTCCCGATGATGATGGTGCTGTTGATGATGTTGTTCATGATCATGATGCTGAGATGGTGATGATGGTGGTGTTCCGATGATGATGGTGATGGTGTCCCGATGATGATGAGGTTGATGATGGTGATGGCGGTGATGGTGACGATGATGGTCCCCCGATGATGATGGTGATTAGGTGGTGATGATGATGGTGTCCCGATGATGCTGATGATGATGTTGATGACGTTGATGACGATGATGTTGATGATGACGTTGGTTGTGATATCGATTGTGATATCGATAGTGAGATCGATAGTTAGACCGAATGTGATATCGATTGTGAGATCGATAGTGAGATCGATAGTGGGATCGATTGTGAGATCGATCGTCAGATCGATTGTGAGATCGATCGGATAAAACAGATCGAGTGTGATCGATTGTGAGATCGATCGAGTGAGATCGATCGAGCGAGACCGATAGTGAGATCGATGGTGAGATCGATAGTGAGACCGATCGAGTGAGGCGTTGGTTCCTCCCCCCCGAACCTCCTTATCACCCGCAGGGTGGTCGTATAGGTACTGATAGATGATGATGTGTTGTGCTATGGCCTGTTTTCTTGTGATGTTTGGTGTGATGCTCAGTGCTATCAGGTTCTCTCGTGTTCGTCGGAGGGGAGAGGCGGGACTCTCGGGGGCACCCGGGGGCTTCTCGGTGGACCTGGGAACCAGGCGGCCGCGGATGCAGGAATGGGCGGTCGGCACGAGCGGCCGCGGTATGCAGGGTGGGCGGGCCAGGAGGTGGTGTCTTCAAGTCTAACGACCCCAACCTGTCAGGTGGGGAACTCGCACACGGCCGTGCTCTCACGCCTCTCACCCTTGTCTCGGCTGCTCTTACCCCTGGCCCGCCTCTTCACATTTGCTGCTGTCAAGGCGCTCTGCCGGAGAAATGTTGCACCCGCGGTCGGAAGAAGACCCGATCGCTTCCAAAGGGGGGTAGGTCTGCGTCCCGGGCCCGTCCTTGTGGCCGGGGAACAAGTGATCGGACCCAGAGGCCGAGATCGCGGGAGAACCTCGCAGGTCCAACAGAAACAACAACAAATCGTCGGCGATCTGGGGGTGGCGATTCTCACTCGTCCCCGCGGTCTGGGCTGCCCCATGATGACTTTAGCCTGGACGACTTGTTCCTCACGGGACTGTGCTCCTCTGGAGAGACTACCTGCGCCTGCGCAGGGTCCTGCGAGTTCACCAGAAGCCGATTCTCCTGACTCCGTCTCCGCCTCCGCTTGAAGGGCAGTCTGCTCTCGATCTGCTCGCGCCTGCCCTGCACGAGGTTGCGGCAGCCACCCATCTCTCCCACGTAGAGGAGGAATTCCTCGAAAGAGATCGACATGTCGTTGTTCTTTCGGGTGGCGCCAACTCTCCACCCACTCATGGGCAAAAAACATATCCGTATCCGCGGCCTCGCGGACAGGGCCCCTGGGCCGGGACCCCTCGGACACGGGGCGCTTTTGTGCGGATGGACCGCGGGACGTATCCGTGCGACCGCGTAGCCGCGGCATCGTAGACCGCGAGGACGCGGAGACGGATATGTGTGCCGCTCGTGACCCGAGCCGGCATTTGACAAGACCGGCCGAGGCGGCTGGTTGGCGTCACCCCCGAGTCCGTGTCGGTGCGCCGTAGGAGCGCCTCGGCGTCCTCCAGGGAGCTGGGCAGGCCGATGTACTGGAGCATGAACTGCAACCTGTAGCTGCCCCGATACGGTCGGACCTAGGGCAGAATAACATCCTTCAGTTTCAAGAACATCAGACCCTCCGCCGGCCCAAACTGAGGAATCTTCGAAGGTGCCCTCCCCCAGGATGCACAAGAACATCCAACAGACACGGGGAACGTTAGGGTACACTGTACGTTGCACTCCCCGGGCCGACCTCGATCTGGTACCTCGGTCCGACCGTACGCAACACGCAACACGAAGCTCAACACCGAGAATGAAACAAAAAAGTCTGGCGCGATACGCTCGCCCAAACGTGGGCCAGCACGTGCCGCGCCAACGCGCAGCGCGCTAGCACGGACGTGTTTGAACACAGCACGTGTCGCGCTTCAGCACAGGCGTATGCAGGGCAGCTAAGGCTGCAACTCCTCGAGGTCCAGCTTGGAGCTCCTGTCCTTGTCGAACATGCGGAAGGCGACCGCGACCGTGCGTTCCTCGTTGTCGACCGCCATGCTGAGGTTGTCCCACGCGTGTTGCGCCCCCTCCTCGTCCTCGTCCGCGGTGGCCCTGGCGCACAGCCGGACATAGTAGTTCAGGAAGTGTTCCGGGCTCTCCTGGAGGGAGGCTACAAGTCCACGTGGAGGAGGACAATGTCCACCTCCTCCTCCTGGACTATTCTCCTCTCCATCCTCCTCTCCATCCTCCTTCTCCTCTACATCCACCTCTTCTCCTCATGCTCATCCTTGCCTGTCTCCTCTCGAACCTCGTCACGAGGATGGAGAAGAGAAGGAGAAGGCGGAGCACCGTCAGGAGGCGGGGGGGAAGGAGGAGGAGGAGGAGGAGGAGGGGGAGGAGGAGGAGGAGGAGGAGGATAATGAGGAGCGCGGAGTATCACGAAGGAATGGCGAGGAGAAGGAGGAGGAGGAAGAGCCGACGAGGGGCGAGGAGGGCTGGCGACGAGAAGAGGAGGAGTAGGAAGAGAAGGAAGGGGAGGAAGAGGGGGACGGAAACGAGGTGATTCACGAGGAGACGGAGGAGGGGAGAATGGGGAGAAGAAGGTGGAGCAGGAGACGGGGAAGAAGAAGAAGAAGAAGAAGCGAACAAGAGGGCGAGAGGGAGGAGGAGAAGGAGGAAGAGGAGGGCGAGAAGGAGGACGACGACGAGAACGAAGACGGCCGAGGAGGAACGGCGAACAGGAGAGGCGGGCAGGCTGCGAGGAGGAGGGACCAGAGCAATCCCAAGTCCTCCCGTCCCAAGTCCACTCCTCACAAGGTCATGCAAAGCTCCCCCTGCGCTGCAGGAAGCAACCCCCTTGAAAGACGAGCCCCTCATGGACCTGCCACTCGGGCGAGAGCCCCGGTTTGGAAAGGTACTGCCCTGCATCCTTCTGGCGAAGCGCAGGGGATGCGACAGGCGTGGATCAGAAAGCTCAGCGAACTGCCTAGCGAGAGCCAGCCCGCTGTGGAAAGAAGCCGCCCTCTGTGCAGCGTCTGCGCGGGCTCCCAAGGCGAGGATTCTCTTCCGCCGCAAACGCCCTCCACAAACGCCCACAAGCATTCAACCTCACTGCGCTGGAGACCAGACAGAAGTCCGGTGGGCGAGAAAGCTCAATGTCGAAGAAGCCCGTGGCGCTCGCCTGTCGTCGAATTTGAGGAAGCCCCACGCGCTCGAGCGAGAGCCCCCGGTGGGAACCACCCTCCGCCAGTGAAAACGTCACACAATGTCAGGCTTCTGGCCCTGCTTCGTACACGAGCCGTCGTCCATCCTAGCAACTGCTGCAAACGAAATTGCGCGGCGCAAGAGGCGAATCATCTGGGCGCGAATGAACGGAGGGTGACAAATGGGAGGGGGGGGGGGAGAAAGGTGACATCTTCGGGCCCTCAAAGGGCCCCTTTGGGGCCCTAAAGGGCTCCTTTCTGCAACCCTCGCTGCCCTCCCAGCCCCCCATCACGCGTGCCGCCGAAAAGTCAATTTGAAAACAAGCCGGCCTCACAGCGGTGCAAAAATGCTTCAAGCGGTTCGGGCCCATGCGCGCGGCACACAGGCAGAGCTCCATGCTGGAAACGACCAGCCCTTCGTCCGAGTACCTGTCGCGAGGCTTTGAGGCGGTTGCGCGCGGCTCTGAGGCGATAGCCCCATGTTCTAAACGACTCGCCTTCCATCAGTCCAAGAGGAGGAGCGAGGAGCGCGGAGGACTCAGACATCAGGCGGCATGTGTTTGTCCGCAGCGTGGCCCCTCAGATGTCTGGGCCCCTTCCCGTGGACCTGTCTTTTACCCCGAGTGTTTCCTTGACGGACGACGGGACCCGCAGGGGCAGGGTTCGCATCGAGGGAACGTCCTGGAAGGACGACGACGACGACGACGACGACGACGACGACGACGACGACGACCACGACCACGACCACGACCACGACCACGACCACGACCACGACCACGACCACGACGACGACGACGACGACGACGACGACGACGACGACGACGACGACGACGACGACGGGTCTCGGCAAGGGCCCCCCCCCGGTGCCGGAGACTGCCAAAAAAGCCTTCCGTCGTGAGTGACAAGGTCGGGGGAGAAGCGAGGAGGACAGGGGCAGGACACAAACAAGATACCAATACCGCCACTCCTCCTCCTCCTCCCTCCTCCTCCTCCTCCTCCTCCTCCCTCCTCCTCCTCCTCCTCCTCCTTCCTCCTCCTCCTCCTCTCCTTCTCCTTCTCCTCCTCCTCTCCTTCCTCCTCCTCCTCCTCCTCCTTCTCCTCCTCCTCCTCCTCCTCCTCCTCCTCCTTCTCCTCCTCCTCCCCCTCCTCCTACACCCCTGGGGCGCGTCCTGACCAAGATGTCGAGGAGAATTCATCCGTGACGACCAGAGCTCTCCATGACGAGCAGCGGCATTGGGAACCTTTATCCTTCAGAGAGGAGACGCAGGATGATGCTGAGACCAGAGGTTGCGAAACACATGCTTCATCGCGAAGAATCGCGACCAACACCCTAGACCCCATATTTCTGATGCATGTTTCGAGCCGGATCGGTCTGTGATGGCCCCGGGGCCCGAAACTCCGCGAAAACGCCCAGTGTGAAAAAGTTGCGGCGGCCGGATCATCGGGGAGGAGGAGGAGGAGGCTGAAGGCAGAAGGCATGACATCCTCATCAGATGCCAGGCTGCGCCGTACAGGGCGGACCCCCGCTCCGCGGGGCCAGAAAAAAACACAAAAACAGCTGGGCCCTTTGGGCCCAGCTAGGGGCCAGCGTGCCAACCAAGCGCACCACAGTGCTGCCCGGCGGACCGACTGGGTCCGAGGGCAGAGCCCCAGTTTTTCAAACCAAGTCAGGGGATGAGGAGGAGAAAGAGGAGGAGCGAGGAGGAGCGAGGGGGTGGAGAACGAGGAGGAGGAAGGGCGAGGAGGAGCGAGGGGGAGGAGGAGGAGGAGGAGGAGGAGGAGGAGGAGGAGGAGGAGGAGGAGGAGGAGAGGAGGAAGAGGAGGACGAGGAGGAGGAGGAGGAGGAGGAGGAGGAGAGGAGGCGGAGGAGGAGGAGGAGGAGGAGGAGGAGGAGGAGCGAGGAGGAGAGGAGGAGGAGGAGGAGGAGGAGGAGGAGGAGGAGGAGGAGGAGGAGGAGGAGGAGGAGGAGCGGGGAGGAGCGGGGAGGAGGGGGAAGAGCTGCTCGCATCTCTCCAGGTAGGGCTTGCTGGCCAAGATCTGGTCCAGCCGCTGCTGGGCGGAGCCCTGCGGCAGCGCGCTGGGCACCGCGGCCGGCGGGGCCCGCTCCCCGAGGGCCGCGGGGGGGCCCAGGGACGGTCACAGGGGGCACACCCCCAGGGGCAGGACGAGGCAGAGGGGGGTGCAGGCAGACCCTCCTGAGGAGAGTGGGGGGGAGGGAGGAGGAGGAGGAGGTGGAGAAATGGAGGAGGAGGTGGAGGAGGATGAGGAGGAGCGAGGAGCAAGGAGGAGGAGGAGGAGGAGAAGGAGGTGGAGGCAGACTCCTGCTCTCCTCCTGCTCCTCCTCCTCATCTTCCTCCTCCTCCTCCTCCTCTTCCACCTCCTCCTCCTTTTCTCCTTCTCCTCTTCTTCTCCTCCTCCTTACCACCACCACCAACACCAACGCCAACACCACCACCATGCATCATCACCCATCCCCAGCACCAGCATCATCATTATCAGCATCAGCATCATCACCATAATAATCATCATCATCATCATCATCATCATCATCATCATCATCATCATCATCATCATCATCATCATCATCATCATCATCATCACCAACAGCATCATCATCATCATCATCATCATCATCATCATCATCATCAGCATCATCATCATCATCATCATCAGCATCAGCATCAGCATCAGCATCATCATCATCATCATCATCATCATCGTCATCATGATCAGGATGATCATCACCAGCAACATCATCATCAGCGCGATCATCAACATCAACATCATCCGCTTCACCCACATCAGCATCATCAACAACATCAGATTCATCATCATCATCATCAGCAGCAGCATCATCAGCAACATCATCATCACCATCATCACCATCATCCGCATCATCATCAGCATCACCAACATCATCATCACCATCAACACCACCAACACCATCATCATCAACATAATCAGTATGGCAAGTGCCGTCATCACCATCACCATAATCACCATCATCATCATCACCATCATCTTCAGCATCATCACCATCACCAGCATCATCAACACCATCGTCGTCGTCATCATCATCACCCGTGTCGCCATCAACGTCGCAATACTCATCATAATCATCATCATCAACATCATCATCGTTACCATTATCGTCAGCATTCGGATCATCATTATCACCATCCCCATCATCATCACCATCACCATCATCATCAGCAGCATCAGCATCAGCATCATCATCATCCTTCTTCTTATCATGATCAACATCACCATTACCATCGTCACAATCATCACCACCATCAGGATCACCAGCACCATCAGCATCGCCATCATCATCATCCTCATCATCATCATCATCATCATCATCATCAGCAGCAGCAACATCACCATCACCACCAACATCAACATCCTCAGCATCATCCTCATCCTCATCCTCACCCTCCTCCCTCCTTCTCCTCGTCGTCATCATCATCAGCAAGATCATCATCACCCCCTTGATCCTCCTCCTTCCATTCATCCTCCCCCTGATCCCTTCCCTCCATTCCCTCACCCATCCCCTTCCTCCTCTCCTTCCTCCTCATCCCCTGCCTCCTCGCCCGGGTCATCCCGTTCCTCCTGATGCTTCTTCCCCACTTCCTCCGCGTCCCCCCATCCAAACTTGTCCTCCTCCTCCTCCTCCTCCTCCTCCTACTCTTACTCCTTTTCCTCCTTCCTCTCCTCCTCCTCCTCCTCCTCCTCCTCCTCCTCCTCCTCCTCCTCCATCTCCCCCTCCTCCTCCTCCTCCTCCTCCTCCTCCTCGTCCTCGTCCTCGTCGTCCTCCTCCTCCTCCGCCTCTGGACCTGCGGGACGCCCCCGCGTCGCCCATCTCCACCCCAGAATCAGCCCAGACGGGCCGACGGGCCACCCTCGGAACAGGCATCCCTGCAAGCATAGCCCTTTAGTGAACGCATCCAACCCGGGAACCGAACACGACAAGACTGGCCGAACACTTGACTACCGGCCAGACCACCCGAACCAAACCCGAATACCCAAATTTCTGGTCGGGGACGGGTTCCACATATGCCTTTGCAGCGTTCCCCGACGCCCCCCCACTGGGAGTGGAGGGCAAATTGTGTCATTGGGGTTGGATTTGGGGGTGGTGGTGGGTGGTGAACACTCAGGAATCACACAGACATCAGACCCTCGAGGACGCCCATGGCGGAGTCCGTGTGAATTTCAAGGGCTCCTCTGGATAGCATGCAACATCAGCTCCAGGAGAACACCAGTGGTCGAGATTGTAACTTGCACCAGGACGTGCAGAAACGACTGCCTAGGGCAGCGGCAGGGACTGCCTGGTAGACGCACGGGACTGTTGAGCAAACACAGACGCCCCTGACATGCGCCGATCTGCCGCTTCACTCCGCGGCTCCAGGGAGGCCCCGACCCCCTCCCCTGGGGCAGTTCTATGCTTAATGGTCCCAGGGCCTGACGATTGGTCCCAGAGGCCGAAATCGAGGAAAACACCCAGATTGCACAATCGCAATATCTGGGATTGCGGAGGGTGCTCCTTGGCCTGCGCAGGGTGCTGTCCCCGGGTCCCCCCCCCAGGCCCAGGCGGGTGGCACGCCGGCCACGGCCATGGAATCCGCCCAAGAACTCGGCAAGGCATTCGTCCACGACTTCTTCAGCCGGAGCGTCTGGTTTTCCGTCCTGTCCTCCTTGCCGCATCCCGGGCAGAATCGCAAGTCCACCCTCGTGCTGCAGCCGATGCACACGGTGGACCCCTCCTCAACCCCTGCGGGAGAGGAGGAGGAGGAATAGGAGGAGAGGGCAAGCGTACGACGTGAGGGGGAGAAAGAGGAGGAGGAGGAAGAGGAGGAGATGGTGGAGAACGCTCTAGCCAACACACTGGAGCTTGCCCAGCGGAAAAAAGGACGAGGAGACTAGCGCACCCACGAGGTTTCGGTCCCGCGGCTAGAGCCCGCGCGGCGGCGTTTGCGCCTCAGGCGGCGGGGGCACGCCTGAAGCGCCCCACAAACTCGTCGAAGTTGACAAAATAGGAGGAGGAGGACGAGGAGGAGGGGGAAGAGGAGGAGGAGGAACAGGAGGGGGAGGGGGAGGATGAAGAGGAGGACGAGGCGGAGGAGGAGGAGGCGGAGGAGGAGGAGGAGGAGAAGGAGGAGGAAGGGGGTGCGAGCAGCAGGGGGAGCAAGGAAAGAGAGGGGGGTAAGGAAGAAGGGGGAGCGGCAACCGGACGCGGAAGAGGACATGGAGGAGGACCGGGAGAGGAGGGGAGGGCGAAACGGAAGGATGTTGGAGAAGAGGAGGAGGACGAGGAGTAGAAGGAGGAGACCTCCTCTCTTCACCCTTTAGGATTCCCCCCCCTTGACGATGACGATGGCCCTTCCTTGGGGCAAGCGATGAGCAAGGGGGGGGAGGACAAGAAAGAACAACACTAACATGGGGGAAACGGGTCCTGAATGGAACGGGTCCCGACCCCCCGGGCCTTCCCACAAGACCAGCTTTTCATCATGAGTCGTTTTCTGACAGTCCGAGGGCCCTTGGAGGAGGGCCCCGAGAGCCCGAAAACGGCGCAAAACCTCAGGACCCGTTTCCCTCAGGATCCATTTTAGGACGAAGCCAGGACGAGGACAAATCCGGGTGAGGATAAATCGAGAATCGCTGAGATCCAGCGTCTCTGGAAGATGTCTCGGGCGCCGCGGCTTTCTCAGAGCGTTCCAGAACGCTCTGAGAGCGTTCCAGAAAGCTCTGGAACAGGTTATCCTCGCCTTGGCCCCGTCCGACGTTTCTCTCATGGGCAGACAACACCGAGAGGAGCGGGAAGGAGGAGCAATGCGAGGGAGGAGCCATTGCCTCTGGGCCACGGGTTGTCCGCGAGGGCGAGCACGTCGTCCGACAGGGGGGTGACAGCAGGAGCCTTGAGCTCCTCCATCCTGGTTCCTCCCTCCTTCTTTTTTCTTTACGTTGAACAGACTCTAGGGCGGTGGCTGTAGCGTTCCCTCCCCGTCCCCCTCCTTCTGCTACACCCTCCCTTCTCCTCCTGCCAATACTGCTAATTCTTATACTCTAATCCTTCTGCGTCCGCTTCTGCATATTATTGTGCTGGCGCACCTGCACCCAGTCCTGTTGTTCTTCGGCTACTTCATCGACTTCGTCTTCTATTACTCCTACTACTACGCCACCATTACTACTACTACTACTACTACTACTACTACTACTACTACTACTACTACTACTACTACTACTACTACTACTACTACTACTACTACTACTACTACTACTACTACTACTACTACTACTACTACTACTACTACTACTACTACTGCTGATGCTACTACTACTACTACGACTACTACTACTACTACTACTACTACTACTACTACTACTACTACTGCTACTACTGCTACTGCTGCTACTACTACTACTACTACTACTACTACTATTACTACTACGACTACGACTACTACTACTACTACTACTACTACGACTACTGCTATTACTACTACTAAAACTACTACTACTACTACTACTACTACTACTACTACTACTACTACTACTACTACGACTACTACTACTACTACTACTACTACTACGACTGCTACTACTATTCCTACTTCTACTCATACTCATACTACCTACTCCTTTTTCTTCTCCTACTCCTACTCATACTCCGACTCCTACGACTACTTCTACTTCTTCTTCTACTACTACTACTACTACTACTACTACTGCTACTACTGCTACTACTAATAACACTACTACGACGACTACGACTACAACCACAACGGCTACTCCTACGACTCGTAGTGCTGCTACTACTACTACTACTACTACTACTACTACTACTACTACTATCACTACTACTACGGCTACGCCTACGACTACGACGACTATTACGACTACTGCTAGTACTACTACTACCACTACTACCACCACCACAGACCACCACCACCACCACCACCACTACTACTACTACTACTACTACTACTACTACTACTACTACTACTACTACTACTCCTACTACTACTACTACTACTACTACTACTACTACTACTACGACTACCTACTACTACTTCTGCAACTACTACTACTACTACTACTACTACTACTACTACTACTACTACTACTACTACTACTACTACAACGACTTCTACTACTACCGCGGATACTACTACTACTACTACTACTACTACTACTACTACTACTACTACTACTACTACTACTACTCCTATCCTTATTCCTTATTAGAATATACTCCTACTCCCCCCTCAGGCCGGCCATTAGGGGCCGCATCCGGGTGGTCCCATCCTAACCTGTAAAAAACAATACAAAATCAACATGTTTCTTATTTTTTCCTCTCGACATGGACGTCCTGTCGTCCACGGCGATAATCCATTGCAAAAAATACCACAAAGAGCACACGCGCGCGTTCATGTCAGAATCCTACCGAACACCGTGTGTTTGCAAGCATTTCAACATAAAAACATCAAAAACCCAATGCTTTTTCACAAAAATTGTACAAATTTCCCGCCCGGGCTCTCTTGCTGAAATCATAGGAAAACCATAGGAATCTTAAGAATTCGGTCAAATCCAGCGATTTCACGTCATCGCGCGGTGCACTCGCGATGCTCTGTCATGCACCCAGGCCGCGAATCCTGTGCAAAAAATACCACAAAGAGCACACTCGCGCGTTCATGTCAGAATCCTACCGAACACCGTGTGTTTGCAAGCATTTCAACATAAAAACATCAAAAACCCAATGCTTTTTCACAAAAATGCTTTTGGGGTGTCCTGCGATTTCACGGCGTGTCGCTGCTCTCCACCGTCCGGGAGCTTTCCTCCTTCCATGCTTTTTCACAAAAATGCTTTGGGGTGTCCTGTCAGACCGTCGGGCTTCCTCCGGCCACCTCTGGCTTCCTGCGGTGTACCGGGCCATTCTCGACTCGTCTGGCAATGCGTGCGCGGCATTCAACATGCGCTCGCCAGTTCCCGTCGGCAACCGCCATCGCGGCCG